GTGATGACGAAAGGTCCCTACCTTGTGGCGATAAATAAATTCCCAAACTCAATGGCTCTGTAAGTCTTTGACATTTAATGTCGGTAAACTGACATGCCTCATGTAACAGACTGTTATTTGGTAGTAAATTATTATTATTTTTAGTTTTAATGGGCTCATCCAACTAGAAGCGCTCGGCCATGCATCCGCACCAGATCACTTGTGGGTACGCTGTGCTCCACATCTCCAACAACCACTGTCCAGCTTAGATTGGTCACTTCTTGACATATCGATATTCTATCGATATTCTATTCAAATTTCTTCGCTTCGGACTTCTGATTTCATTGAGCTGGCACGTTTCGATCACAACGAGTGTCACTGATTAAGGTGCTGTCAAACTCCGAATAGTTGTAGCATCTTTAACCTACCCGACAATAGAGCAGAAATTAGCGTCATCCAGACAAACTATAAAAATCCTCAAAATGTCTACATGTTTACTCTATAGACACGAGAAACCAACTTTGAACCTTAGAATACGCTTCCCTGAATTATTCTCCAATTTATGAGCTCAAGAAAACTATTAATTTTACGAAAGCTCAGATAATACTTCCGAAGATCACCGGTCACAATCTTTTGTCATATAATAACTTACAGAAGATCTGTAGGTTATTGCTATTAATAGGCAGTATTAATACTAGCTACGGTTCTCATCTTGTTCTAGTCTAGGTGTAGCGGTAAATAAATCCCCAGAATAAATAGCCCTGTAAGTCTTCGATATTGGATGCTGACCACATTAGTTCTAATGGAATCACTTAACCGAAAGCTTTCGATCATGCATCCCCATCAGATCACGAGTGAGAACGCCGTGCTGAACATTTACTGCAATCGCTGACCTGATTAGATCAGTCAGTCCTCGATATATTGATAGCCTATCAAATATATCTTCGAACCTCCTCGCTTCTGGCTTTTGAGTTCACTTGGTAGGTATGATTCACATTAGAAGATGTTACTGATTAAGGCGTTTTCAAACTCCAAATACCTGTGGTATCTTCAATGGTGAACCCAACGTGATCTGGCACACCAAATTACAAGCTGTGAGTCTGTTCATTTTTGGATTCTATATATTTTTGATTTATTTTAGTTTTTATATATTGTAATATTTTGTCGTACATTTGGATATATATATATATATATATATATATATATATATATCCACTCCTTCATTTTCGTACTTACTATTTCACCATGACGGAACAGACACCCATGGTACTTAAGTAAACGACTATGTCACCACATTCGTATCAACTGATGCCCTTCTGGACACACGTCGAAGCCTGGTTTTGCTACGCAGAAGCCGACTTCTACGGGCACGGCGTGAATGATACATGTGCACAATTCCTCGCAGTATTTAAAGCACTATCACGCGAATTCAACAGGTACGTAACACCTAATATGTTTACTAGTGATGTTTCAGGACCCTACGGAACACTTAAACGATCTATCCTTAAACATGGAGACCTTACAGATAGGCAAAGGTTAGACCAACTCCTAAATAACATTGACCTGCAACATGGCCCTGCGACAAACATGTTGCAATGAATGAAAGAGGTTATCGGCCAAAGAACCTTCGATGATGACCTATTCAAACAACTTTTCTTATCTAAGCTTCCTCAACAAGTGCAAGCTGTGCTGGTCGCGTTTCAAAACAACGCCGTAGACGAGCTGGCTGTATCTGTCGACCGCATCCTTAAAACCACGAAATCTTCTAATGCCGAGGTCTTTTCAGTCAAAGAAAAACATCAAACGACCCAAAATGACAACGGAATTATGCCATACACTTACACGTTATCTTGGATTTCGTGATGGCGGTAAATGGTCACACACTTCTCGAGGAAGTACATCACGTAGGCGATCTGTTCCTAGACCGCGGGAGACGGATAACCCCGACTGGTGCTGGTACCATAACCAGTACGGAAAGTCTTCCAGAAATTGAAGAAAACCCTGCAATTCTCCGGAATCACAATTAACTAACACGAAAAACACTTCGGGAAACTTCCAACCGGCACGCGTTAGCGGCAACCGTGGCCGGCGAACATAGCCGTCTGTTGTACGTCACAGATGTGATAACGAAATCATCTCCTTTGTCGATACTGACGCAGAAGTTGTCGTTCTCCCGGCGAATTCTAACTACCGGCTTCACGAATCTGCTTTAAATCTATAGGCGGCAAACGGAAAGTCTATCGCTACATATGGTAAAAGATACCAACCGCAACCGAAATTGCCGTGTGTAACCAGCAATGTTACACATTACAGCATGACTACAGGACCTTTCGTATCCTCAAAAGCGCTCCGATTGGCTCCCGAAAAGCTGAGGTTGGTTAAAAACGAACGATCAAGACAATATAGAAGAAACATCAATAAAGTCCTAAAGTAAAACGAATGAACCAAAAGTAAACAGGATTTTTTTCTATTCTGGAAGAAACAATATCTAGACAAAAACGACAAAGCATTACCTTCTACATCATAAGGAAAATTACAAACAAAATTATGTAAGATTGATGCTAAGTATTCGTCTTTGTTCTATTGTTAAGTGTAAAGTTTACAGTGGAATTAAAACAACATATATCTACATAAAAAAAGGTAAATTTTACTAAATGCAAAATATTTTATACATTTGTGGGCATATATATATATATATATATATATTTATATATATATATATATGGAACTTTCTGTATGTCCGTTAAAGGATTATTAGTTAATATGTATTCAGGTAAACACCATCGTATCAGCTATACAAGTTCTATAAACATAATCAATTATGAACAAGTGACGTAATTTGTAAAATATAATAAACAAACAATTATTTAATAATAATAATAACAATAATGGTAATAACCATTTGTTAACCAACATATACGTAGCAAAAAAGTAAACTGTCAAAAAAAAGTTTCCAATAACAAACAACTAGGTGAAAGAAAGGAAGTAATAATTGGAAATGAAGCAATACAAATGACCATATTAGACACAATAATAAAAGGAAAAAGATGAATGTTCAAAGTTGATATTGTTGAAATATAATAATAATAATAATAATAATAATAATAATAATAATAATAATAATAATAATAGTAATAATTGTAAAGATTATTGAATGTAAACGTATTGGAAAATAGATATTAACTTGATATAACTATTTACATGACGATTTCACTGTGAGCAGTGAAATACTCGCTAGCAAATATCGCGATGTATAATTATGCTGCATTATGTAATAATTCATACAATTTGTTCATAGTTGATAACCTGTTGAAGGAAAAAAACAAGTTTGTGGAAATAAATAGGGTTATATAGATCCGATTTATGATATTTGTAGATTTAAAGTTTAAAATTAATAAAAAAAGTGTTTATTTTATTGGTTTAATGAAGCAACCGTTAATTTTGCTGGAGTTAAGATACAGTTGTAGGTGGTACTGATTGTAGATTGACATCAATTACTTACTTACTTACGCCTGTTACTCCTCGTGAGGGAGCATAAGTCGCTCACCAGCATTTTCCATCCAACCCTGTCCTGGGTAAACCTTTCCAGCTCTTTCCAGTTGTTATTCATCCTTTTCATATCTGATTCTATTTCCCGATGTAGTGTGTTCTTTGGCCTTCCTCTTTTCCGCTTCCCTTCAGGATTCCAAGTTAGCGCTTGTCTTGTGGTGCAGTTTGATGATTTCCTCAATGTATGTTCTATCCATTTCCATCGCCTTTTCCTAATTTCCTCTTCAGCTGGAAGCTGGTTTGTTCTCTCCCACAGTAGTGTGTTGCTGATGGTATCCAGCCGATGGATGTTGAGTATCTTGCGTAGACAACTATTTATAAATACTTGTACCTTCTTGATGGTGGTTGTAGTAGTTCTCCAAGTTATTGACATAAATTAAGGTACCATTAAAGACCAATAAGCGACGTACAGTTATTTTATTCTATCATGTGGTTTTTTGGGATGAGAACCCACCACTTGATTAGGTAATCTTTCTGTCAACCCATATTTTTATATCATGAACCCAGGGGTCGAAAGAAAATGCGTTAGTCTCTAGGATTGAACATAGTAGTTTTAAACCCCTGACAATATGACTCATGGATCTGAACTACTGAGAATTTATGTAAAAGGATGAAACGGCTGTCTAACATTTACCAGTTTTCAATGGTACTGTGATGTATGGTACTTACATCTGTCGAAATAAGTAGTATGTAACACCAGTTAAAAGTTGAATGCCGGTCAAATGAAAGTTGAGAAGATTGCACTGAAGTAAACAGAAAGGAAAGCATGAACGAATCAAGAAATGGAAGAATCATGAAGGATGTAAAGGATTATTGATGGAATATTTACAAATATAGTATTTAACGCGTGGTTTTTACATTTTATCAACAAAAAGAAACTCTGTAGTTATGAATTAAACAATATACTAGTTTTCCTCAACAGAGTATTCGTTCACTAAAGTACCTCAACCGATATTAGTCCACTATATATGCCATGTATACGTTAGAAATCGATAAAATTACAATGGTCTTGAGTGCTGTTAGAGGTATGAGGGCGGTTATCACTTCCCGGTTTACCATACCGTGGAAGGGTTCTGCTGGAGGTACCTGAAAAGAAAATCGGATTAGAGGTGGTCATAGTGACCTGAGAGCGTGACCGCAATGCCCAAGGGACAACTGATTGAGGTCGGTCATACACGACCTTTTTATGAGTAGATTTGTGTTAGCTCGTTAAAATGCATCAACTAAGATTAATTACATTGTGATCTTACCTTTTTTAGTTTAATAACTTTTCAAGATAAAGTAACCAATTAATTATTATTCATGCACATATTACCCAAGCATGATTATCTAATTAAATTCACTTCGCATTTCTTTAGAAAGTAATAAGCTTACTTGAATGGATTCAGTTCAAAAGGTCTAGGTGTTCATTTCACAAAAATCAACCATGCTAAAGGTATTACTTATTGTAACTTGTTGTAAAGCTGAAGAGCTACTTAAATTTGAAAAATGCTAAAGCAAATCATACAAATAATGTAGGATTTGAAGAATTTATTTATATAATTTGGATTTAAGTTTCTCTATTAACTGTAAAAGAAATGAGCAAACCAAAGTGTGTGAAGACTGCAATACAGTAGTTATTTCTCATATCTTCAAAGCATTCTCTAGAATCAAAGATGAAAGTCATGCAAATGTTACACTTCAGAAGAAAATTCTAAAATCCAAAGATTTTAAACTCACTGATGAAAGCTTAAGCTCAGAGAGTAATGAAAATGAAAGGACAATCAAAAACTGAGATCATAAAATATTGAATGTTCTTCTTGCGCCTTCGTGATGTCACTCTGTCTGTAAAAGGTCGGATCTACAACGCGACGGTGAGAGCAGTTTTGCTCTATGCTTGTGAAACCTGGCATCTCAGATTTGAGGATATTAGACGACTCTCTGTGTTTGGTCATTGTTGTCACTGAAGGATTGCTGACATTCAGTGGCAACACCATGTTAGTAATGCAGAGGTTCGGCATAGTGTGTTCGAGCACAGAGAAGATAATCTAATTATTGTCACCATCTTGAAACACCGACTTCAGTGGCTTGGACATGTTCTACGAATGTCGTCCACGTCGTGTATTATTTGCGGACGCCGGGACTGGTTGGAAAAGGCGGAGAGGTAGTCAATGTATGACATGGTGTCGTGGTATGAAAGAAAGCTGCAAAGGGCTGGTTTCTGTCGATCCTTCACGACTCCCTGGCTGCGGTCCGAGAGATGGTGAGACACAGTGGCTAGAGACGTTATCAGATATGGCTCTAAATAGAAGCCATTGGCGATCCTACTGTAACCTTTTTTTTACTTTCTCCATAAAAAGTGGTTGTACCTTCCTTAACTGGAAGAATTCTTCCGGTTGTACCTTTCCGTTTCCCCCATTATTGTTTTTACTATTATTATTACTGCACTACTTTACAGTAATCTGTTCTTTTCTTTTTCTTCTTATACGCGCCTTACCTTCTTTTTTCTCTTCCCATTCTCATTGTGTTTGTGTGACGCATATATATATGGTGTCCCCCTGTACCAATATTTATGTGTTTAAATAAATAATATTTACGAATGTCATTCTTAGAAAAAAAATGTAAATCTTCAAAATTCTCCCAAAAACCAACTGAGTGATACTTACATTTTGTGACCAACAAAATTTTATTCATGAATGGGTCGTAGACTGATTGATTTCGTTAGTATCAACATCGTAACTATCATTTTGTAATTCCGTTTGACATGTATGCATTTGTTCTGTGTCAAAATCACGTACTATCAAAGTTTTCTGAGGTACATTTGCACAACTAGAATCTGATATTTGATTACTGTTACAATTCAATGATATGGTAGATACTCCTATCATAGTCTGTTCATCAGTTGCATAAACTATTGATACTGCACTGGATTGTAAAGATGATGATGATGATGAACGTGTTATTTTTGAATCATTTAATTCCAAAGGCTTTGGCTCTACTACCTCAGATGATTGTGCAGGGGACACTGAATTTGATGGTTCCGGATGACTAACAGGTCTAGAAATATTGATAGTTGATAAAACTGGAGAATTAGAATCACTATGTATGCTGAAAACCGATGAGCCTTGTAATTGGTTACTTTGATTTGATAAACGACTCATAATGCTTTGACGTAAAGAACCAAATCGACTACGAAGCCAATTGAAAAAGGCAGGTGGTGGATCACCTTGTGGTTTCGGAAATGGTTCTATCCATGAAACTGTTGATGAGTTCACAAGCTGATTAGAATCAAGCTGTGAAAATTGTTGAGGTTGTTGTGTACATGGTTTAACCGGAGTTGAATTTTTCAATGAAGTCTGATATTTACTTAATCTAGGATATTTATCAAAATCTTCGTAGGCTGGAGGTGCTTCATCAATAACCCTAAATGAAAGAAATACAAAAGGTATAAATACACTATAAATTTTCAAACAAACTTTGTCCCATCATATAAAAATACACAATGGAGATAAGCTTAATCATTGAGCATAATAAATGATCACAAACTAAAGAGGTATATAATATGCCTAGTAAATTGACAGAACTATGGTTATGTGTGATGAGTATCGAACAGCACGAAACCTAACTCATGTGGAGTTTCCTGCCGATTATTTATAACCCTTAAACATTAGAATGAAGTGTAAACTTCATGAAAACTAGAAGTTTCACGTGAGAAAATTCTTTCATAATTCTAATAAGAAAATGGTATAAAAAATTAAAAAAAAACCATAATGTAGGAGTAAAATGTAAAAAAATTTTTCATCCTAATTATTATTAGGCTGTTCTATACCCATTTAGATTGTATTATGAGCCAATAACTTCTCATTATAATAAGCTTAAATAATTCATTCCTTTAATAAATTTAGATAATGCAATAAACCAATGAAGGTTATGAGATATATTTTTAATATAATTGTGAAATACAATTCATTCAATCAGTCAGTTAGCTGCAACGTAGGATCAGGTACATATATACATCGGTTCAAGTTCTCACACCTCATTAGTACAATAAGATGAAGACCTAATTGATAGAAGTAGTTAATTCAATGGTGAGAATATATAAAAGAAAGATTTTATGTAATTAGTTCGTAGAAAGAAAGATATGAAGCGATTTTAATATCTTAGTTTAAGAGAAGACTCTTGTGACAGCCGATTGGAGGGCAGTGAATTGTCGATCGAATGAAGGACGCGTACAACCCGTACGAGCAGCTTAGAGTCCTGATTGGTCTCGCTTCCTGCCTAGCCCAACCAGTTAACTTCAGAACACCAATCCAAGCCTCTGTGATATGAATCATTATATTTCAAACATACTGGGTTTATTACATACAAATCAAACAGACAACATCGTACCATAAAATAGAAAATAGCATTTGTACAAACTTTGGCCAAATGCTGTGAATGTGGGAGGCAGTGACTAATAGACAGGGCATAATTCAAGAATGGTAAGACGTATAATAATAGTTTATGGGTCAAAATAAAGCTTATAATAAGAGGAATATGAATATGCATAGTTTAGTTACTTAATAATTATCCAACAGAAATATACGTTTAGTATTGGTCCATGAATGGATCCCAAAAGTTACTATTCATTATACTTGTCGGGACATAACAAAGACAAAGAGTGTATACATCGACGCCATTGTGATCGGTTCTGAGTCATTTCACACACACAGTCTCCAACCATTGGTTACAATGGTCATGAGGATCCAAATCATGTAGTCTGCATCTATCAAGATGGATCGAACTAGAAGTCAGTGACTTCAAGGACTGATGCCACATTTTAGTTTGGTCGTCCCTAACTTTCTTCCATCCGTCTCCAACACTAGTCAGCATAGTGCGTCGTGGTAATCGACGTTTAAGTATACGCAACACGTGGTCCAACCATCTCAGTTGATGAAGATTTACAACCTACATATCCATATATTTGTTAAGACGTCATATATGAAAAAAAACAAATGTTAACTGGACACATTGGAAGATAAAAGGAAATCAAGATAATAATAAAGTATACAATGTGAAAACCAATCTAGATAATAAATTAGTATTACCATGCTGGGTCAAATTTTGGAACAAATTGTTTTGTATACATAAAGGGGATTTCAGTTTTCGTGAGGTTAAAGCTGCAATAAGCCATTATATACGAGTTTTAACAATTTTATATAACACAAAGAAGGCTGACTTCATATCAACACTATGACCCATCTCGACCAAATATTTTTCAATGAAGGAAGATATGTGTCTACTCTGTGATTTTATCAGATCAATGGAGTTCAGTCAGTCAGTCAGGTGCAACGTAGGACCAGGCACATATATGCATCGGTTCAAGTTGCCATACCGCATTAGCACGACAAGATGAACACCGGATTCATAGAAGTAGTCACATCAAAGGTAGTAGTATATAAAAGAAAGATTGTGTGTAAGGATATGATACAGGAAGAAAGAATTAGTTCATAAAAAGAAAAACATGAAGCGATTTTAATCTCTTAGTTTAAGGGGAGACAGAGAGTGTATACACCGACGCCATTGTGATCAATTCTGTGCCATGTCAATGGAGTTTATTTGTATGTGTAACCATTTAGGTATGTGTTCAAGCACCCCTACTTGAAATCATGATTCCTCCTCCATGTATAAGTGTTTCAGCACTTATACATAAGCTGACAAACACTATAAGATTTCAATAGTTGAAATCATGAGTCAATTAAAGCTAGACCACCATGGAAAATCTGAAAGCACTGGACGGCAGTTTCGTCCTTCTATGGGACTCCTCAACAGTGCGCATCTACGATCTCGCCTTGCAGGATTCGAACCAAGGACAATAAGATTTGACACAATCGTTTACATTCTTTACAAGCCCCATTATATGCATGTAATTGTAATTATTCTAATTCAATCAATTCCACAGTTTGTTCAATGACTTGTAATAAAAAAATAACTAATTAGTTTGATCATGAATGTGATCTCTAAATCATAAACTACCATTGTTTATGTGTACAATAGAAAACTTAACCTGAGTCATTTTACATTGAATTTCATTAGGCTGAAACGTTTCAGATCGTACATTGTTCAGTATTTTCAACTTCTTTTTAAATTATAGAATATATAAATTATTATAGGGTGTGCCATTTAAGTCATTTTCCTAAGGATATATTTCTTTTCCTATTGTCATAGTAATTTCTCTTATGAAAATATAAACAAATACTTTTCATTTCATTTTGTATTGTTTGTTTGAATCTTCTCATTGATATTTGGGACTTCAATTGGTCAGTCTCTTATTAGAATTTATGCATCCTATGCAGATCGTCTAGGTATTACCATAAGTCATAAGCATTATAAGCAAAGATAGATAGCGGATGGTAATGGAATCCAGGACTCATGTTTCGTCCCACTTGGGACTCGTCAGCTGGATGCACCTGCATCCAAGAGTTGATGTTCACTTCAATGCGCGATGGTGTCTGAAGAGAGACTCACTAGGTTCGAGTCACAGGATGAACATGAACCCTGGGCTGCAGGTACATTCAACTGACAAGTCCCAACACATAAAAAAAACGTGCTTCTAGCCACCATTCATATTCGCTTAAAGGGCTTTTCTATCTTATAAAGCGAAAATTTATATCTGAATATTATTACGGTGTATGATTGAATACAAAGATGAGTAGATTGTTTATTGTTGTGTATTTGAGGTAACTAAAAATAAAAAAAAGTTATTTTCTAGATTTTATAACACCCTAACACTCCAAATAGCATTATATATTTTTCAAAATGTAATCCAGTTATCAAAACCAGTGAAACAAACAATAATGACATGCACGCTAGTAACTGATCTCGAGATAAATTCGTAAATTTCTTGTGAAAAGTTATAATAGGATTAGTTTAATCATTTCGGATCATTGTACAATATTACAATTTTACTGAAATTAAAAATACACATATGTATATGAACGTCATAAAACTCCTTCATGAACAATTAAGTAGTGAAGATAAGTAGTCATAATTGTGTAAATTTTCTTCAGCCGAAGGACATAGCAACTATCCTACAGTCAGTTTCGATTATGGTTAATTTTGGTTAAGCCTTTTTATTAACTTACTTAACGGACGATATCACTTGAACAGTAACAATTCGCATATATCTTTGTACCGTTATGATCACTAGATCATATGGCAGACTCTAGCTAAATTGTTGACTGTTTAAATATCACTCGGTAATTCATCCTCCTCCTCCTCCCCATGTATATATGTACTCAAATCCTATTATTACTCCTTGCTTTGTTTTGCTGTGCCCTTATACAATTTGAGCATAAATTTGTCTATGTGGTTGCTCGTACATACTTATTCTTCTTTCCGCTTCAAATACTCTCGATGTGCTTATAGGTTTTTGATCTGTACTATCCGCTTATAAACCGTAGTTGCCAATTCTCATTGCTTTCTGATTTGAAACACCGTTGAGATTTATATTATAACGGTAATCGAGTTGATCAATTAACAAAGCAAAATCACTACAGGTATTTAAAAATAAAATTTCTTTTTCCTCTCTGTAAAGAAATAATGCTTTCAGTCTAGATTTTATAAATGACGGGAAATTACTAGTTTAAGCGGGATAGTTTGATTTATTCAGTGAAACTGAATTATCAATGATTTTGAAATAAACCAACCAAAAATACTATTAATCTCAATAAGTCTAGATCTTCGACAAGACGCAAGTATGAATTGGAATTTAAAATATATATACAGTATGAAATTGTATTGTGTTTTTATAATAAATGTGAAACGTAACATCAATTATTTAATTATATAGTAAATGTATTAGTTACTTATTACATTATGTTATCACATTTGTTCGATTCTGATAGTATTCTTATCTTTCTAGACGAGATTATAAGTGATTATTCTACATAAAAGTTTATTTGAATGTTTTTCAAACAAGATAAAAAATGAATTGAAGTAGGAAATATTTATCATTGAATTAGAAGCCAGTTGTCAAACGGTTGAAACATTATGAGTTAAGGGGTTGTGGAGATTGTCAAGTTTTTGATTAAGATCATGAACCGATTGATGTTAGACCACCATTCACTGAACAAATCATAAGTACAAAGTTTGATCTATGTTGTTATCATTAGATACCCGACAATTAAATAATGTAGTTATATAATACTCACTAACTTTCAAAAATACCTCGATTGAGGTTCTATCTGTATTATGTCCCAATAAGAATAATGAATGGTAACTGTTGGGATTGATTTCTGGACTATTACCATACCGTATATTTTTATCGTATAATTAATATGTAACTAAACTATGCATATTCATATTCCTCTTATTATGAGCTTTATTTTGACCTATGAACTATTATTCTATGATTTACTATTCTTGAATTATACCCTGTCTAT